ACGGAGAGGATTTGTTCACAGTTTGGGTCCCTGTCTGGGCTGATGATGTCTCTGGCGCACGAAGCAAGCAATATCAGAAGCATCTCAATGTGTACACTGCGAACGCAAATTTACCTGGACAGTTACTGCAGCAAGAATATTTTGTACGCTTTGTGTGCACTTCCCCGCATGCCGGCGCTCTCGAGCAATTGAAAGTAGTTGTTGACCAAGTCAAGTTAGTTGATCGTGATTATAAAGAGAGATTTTTTGGCTCACCTTCATCTTCAGGTCGACACACAAAAAACCAGTACGTACCTATGACGCAGCTACCTTGCGTCCATGCGGGTTCAGGTTGAATGTACCCGATGGGCCGGCGGACAACCCACAACAGGCCGAGGAAGCCTCTCATATAGGTCATCAGGGCAATCACTTTTGTCGTCGCTGCCATGTTGGCGGGACGATCGAAGACAAAGAATGCCCAGATGGGTATCATTCATTTTACGAGGTGAGAATAGCACCCTTTGAGGCTCACTCCGATTTTTGAAACCCTCGTAGACTGGCCGTCCAAGAAATGTGGATGATATCCGAAACTGTGTCCTTGAGCAGCTCCGTCTGGCTACGTACGGGGTTGCAGCTCGTGTCGAAGCCTTACAGACAGCAACGGGAACCAAGGACAAAATTGCGCAACATTGGATCGAAATCCTGATCCTCAAGGCTCGGGAGATGCAAACAGCTAGTCCTGGCCGGTTGGTGGACGACATCTCAAACGAGTTGTTGATCTGGTTGAGAAATGAGACAGACCAGCCTTATAACCCGTTGCTGGATCTCCCATGTGCGTATTTCCACTGTTTCTCCCACCTGCATAGAATAATCCGCTGCTTCTTAGTTTTTGACCCATCCCAAGATACTCTCGTCGAGATTCTACACACGATATTACTCGGCGACGCTAAATATACGTGGTATGAGCTGCATCATAATTGGACGGCCGTACAGCAGGATATTTTTACAGTCCGACTCCAAAGCACGAACCTAGATGGGCTGACCGTCCCTCCGATCCGGGCCGCTTATATGATGCAGTACCGTAACGGTTTAATTGGGAAACACTTCAAGACACTCATGCAAACCACAATTTTCCATATTCACGACATCGTCACCCCTGATCAATTTACCCTCGTTCGAGCTCTAGGCGAACTCGGACCCCATCTTTGGACCTCCGTCATCGACGACATGGACACGTACCTAGTGAGCATAAACTCGGGGTGTTCCGGCTTGTATTGATCTGTTGCAGGCGGATCTACAAATCCTAATCGACAACCTTCTGGACGCTTTCGCCACGCTCGATCCCAACAAAATCCTGATCAAGCTCAAACTACATGTGCTACTGCATATTGTACAGGACATTCGGCGCCGCGGGCCAGCTGTCCGCTTCTCAACCGAAGTCTTCGAGTGCTTCAATGCAATTTTTCGCCTATGTTCCGTTCTCAGTAACCACCAAGCCCCGAGTCGGGACATAGCTGCCAAGTTTGCAGATTTGGATCGTGTCAAACATATCCTCAGCGGCGGCTATTGGCTTCAAGATACAGAATGGTTACGTGCTGGCAAGGACGTTCAACGCATTCTTCGTAACACTCCCATCATCCAGAAACATCTGGGCTGGGCACCACCCCCCTTTTGGACCCCTGGACTCATACAGTCTGTTGCACAGAAGAAACAGAGCAAACTGTCAGCTCTGACTGCTTCCGAGACCATGCTCGTCGGAGCTAGTAATCCATGTAATATTCCGATTAATCCCGCTGTTGCATGGGCACACGGCGTCCATGTAGCAGCAGTCACGGGCGACCGCTGTACTGTTGGTTCATGGGCTCTGTTCCGGCTTGATGAGGTGCATTTTTTTGTCTTGTTTTTTCCTCCAAAAATATCATTGTGGATTATTATCAGGTTCCGATGATTGCGCGGATCTCCACAATCCTTTTGCCAAAGGGCAGCAAGCCGGCGCAAGGGATATTGGTGGTTTCCAAGTACAATGTTGCAGAGGCGCTTCATCCGCACTTCCACATGCCAGTACTCTTGCCCGATACGGCTGCAAGCAGTGTAATTGTTCCTTCCGATGTAAGTTCCAACTTTACTCTTCTCTCTCTCGACAACTAACACTATTCCAGTCAGTCCAATTCATATTCAATGTACAGCATGATTGCCGTGCCTGTGGCTGCGATGCGAGTGGGGTTACTCGGCAGATGCAAGAGCGCCAGGAGTCCGACACAATAATCCACTCCGTCGTGCACAAAGATGACACCCGCTTTGTGATAAATATGCACGGATTCCACAACGCCCGCCTTCTACGCAAATTCCTACCCGTTTCTCTCACGAAACCGCGCCCCCTCTTCCCGGACCGCAGGAAACGACACGACGAGCTAGCTGCAACCCTTGCCATTACCCAGAAGGCAAAACGTGCAGCAACTCAGGAGAAAGCAGCTGCGACGAGAGAGAAGAATAAGGCTGCAAAAGAAGCTCGGACAGAGGCTGGTAGTGGGGCCGGGGACATAGAGGATGAGGCAGGGAGACACAAGCGGCCCCGTAATTCATTCGAATAGCAATATGTACATGCATGATCCTAAGTTAATAACTCGTCTTCCAGTAGCACACCTCGAGCAGTGTCCCTGCGAAGTTTCCGGATCCACGAGGCTGTTCGCAGTTGCTTAATGCGCCCGGCATGTTCCGCCGTTGCCCGCCGTTCTGCGTACTCGGTTAGGTGGTGGTGCACTGGCCCAAACACATCCTACAAAGAAGTCAGAAAAAGGAGTCATACGGAGCTGTTCTCACACTCACACTGCGTGTTGCCTCCCGGGCCATGTAACCAGGACCAGGTGGCCGAGGGAAAGTCTTAGAAGGGGGCGGTGCGAGGAAAACGAGGGGTTGGATGTGTTTGGAGGCTGGCTCTGAGCAGTCCACCGAGTCTCCGATTGTCGACGAGAAGTCACTAGCCAGCCCAAAATATCTGTAATAGATGGGGACAGGCAGTGATACCGAAGTCGTGTCGTCTTCAAGTTCGTCCCCGCTGTGTGTATGTTTCACATTAGGCTGGTGTCGTTGCACACTCGGAGCATGGATCCCAAGAGCAGCGCGGAGGACGCTGGATGCGTGCGACAAGGGCGACGGAGTTGGGCACCATGGTTCCATGAGGCCACGACGAGATGATAAAGGTGCTCTGCAAGAACGATGCGCGTGAAGAAACATCGTTTATATGAGCGTGATACGCACCCATCTCAGAAAGCCCACGTCAAAGCCTTGGCCAAGGTTCAGAGAGCTTGGCTACTGGATCACAGCTCCGGCATGGTAGAGAGCTTGAGTCCAACGCCAGCAGAAGAGTTTCGGTGAGAGGTCTAGGCGAGCTCAGAATGGATGTCCTCATGAGATCCTGCCCGAAGCTCTCATTGATGTGTGACGAACAACATCACCTGCATCATTCCGGTCCATATTTCGCGAAGCTCTAGGGCCTCCGGTCTCGAAGGAACCTCATTTCAGTATCCGTACAACATCGACACAAATTATCGGTGAAACGATTCTACTCGATCTCAAATCGGGAATAGGGCTGGTTGGTGGTGTAGGTCAAATTCAACGTGTGCGGGAAATTTGGAAGTTGGGCTCGACGGAATGGTGACTTGCGGAAGTGACTCTGAGAAGAAGATTCAGATACGTGTAGACTTGTTAGCGCCGTCCATCCACAAATAAGTAATTCAAACTCCCCAGCCGACTGAAGCGAGGCGGCGTACGGAGGATCCTGCTCGACTCAGCGACGATTCTGAGCTATTTGATCAGATATGCGCACCCGTGTCTTTTTGTCCGGGCAAATAAATTCAGTCAATATTTTTAGTGTAGCCTTATGTGTTGTGTTATTCGAGTTCCTTGGATGTGAGGAAGGCTTGGTGTGTCTCTCAGGCCGCATGCACACCTCTGACAGTATGTTACTATGTAATTGCCACGCCCATAGTGTGAGGCGGTAGATCCCGTTCGATCGTGATATGACACGTACAGTATATTCAGTTTATATCGGTGGAAGAAAGAATAATCGAATCTAATCTAATTTGGAAGTCTTCTCGAGGCCTGGAAGGCCTGGTAGCACCATGTGTACCTCTGCACAGCATAATCAGCTATTTGTGATTCCGTAACAAGCTCCCTGTTCGAGGCGGGGCGAGGCCATGCAGTGGCCCAGAAATCTGATTTTTCTTACTCGGACCAAGTCGCATTCTCGAATCCAAAGTCGTGTTTCATAATTGGTGGACCGAGAATTAAATTATTTCGACGTTAGCATCATCTGGGGAGAGAACTTCGTGTTTTTTTTTGGCAATTTCGATGAGCAAGTTGGAGTCCTGGACAAAATGAAAAAATGAAATCGACCCCAGGTCTGATACTCGATGTTCGATCATCTGCTGAACGCGTGCGGGGAATTTTGGACGTTGGACTCGACTACTCTACATTTATGTATCGTGCATTTCCTCCAGAGTGACATCTGGATCTATCCATCCAGTCCAATCTATGAGTTTACCGTTCCCAATGGGAAGAAAGAGAAACGGCAATAGTACAAAAGTAAAAAGGACGAGCAGGAGGAGAAAGAGGATCTCGAGTGGGGAGGTGGGAAGGCAGGTAAAATTAGATATATATGGGGCGGGATGACAAAATAAGCATTGGCCATCCAGGCATTCGAATGTCGGGCGAGGGGAGTCGAACCCCGTTCGGCGGGGTTTGACATGGATTTAGAGGACCAGATGAACCCGCTGTTTTTCATACACCACGCCTGGCCCGGGATATGCTCCTCGAGTGAGTGGTTGTGCAGAAGAGGGGCATCTCCGAGCCATCATCATACGACGGAGGGCGGCTGGGAGGGTAATGGAGATCGCAGGTGTCCGGTTTTTCTTTCCGCGGAGATATATATATTTTCCCTGTCCCGCTCCTCGATGAAATCCGTTACATATGCACGGGTACAGATGGGAGGTGAAATCAAAAAAGGATTCGATACCCTGGCATTCGGACACGGGGAGTCGAACCCCGTTCTGCGGGGTTACCTGGTGAATATTTTGAGTGAGATGAACCCGCCGTGTTGCATACACCACATCCGATGAGTAGCCAGGCTGAGTCCTTGTATAAGTCGGGGTGAATTGAAAGGTGCGCGGCACGCTGAAATCAGGATTCAGAAAGCGGTCCAGGATCTAGGGCTACGAGCCGTCTTCTTCGAGCCGGTTTGAGCGCGAAGATCACAGAACCAGCAGGAGAATGAAGGAGTGAGAACGGTCGTTGCCGGATGACACCGTGAACGAGATACAGCCACGAGCGGAGGACGTTGGTTCAGCAGGGGGAACGGCATTTAAGAGGTCGCCGAACCGAGCCGAGTTGATCCGTTGATCGGGCTGATTTCCTCCCGCTCTGCGCTCTGGGTCACTGAGGTGGGTGGAACCAGCGCCAGCGTCGGCTTGCGCGTTCCCCCGACTTGCAAAGATCACTTGGAGTCCCTCCCACGGACGCGATACCGCTGGTCAAGATTCACGACTCCGTACAGGTCATCTCGGCACCCCTCCGAGTCACGGACCCTGACACTGCGCGTCGACGCAAGGAAGGGTGAGCAATATCGTCTCTTTGGAGGCTAAGCTAAATAATAAGTTGAGTCATAATCGTTGATTCAAAAAACACCGATACCGACGGTGCATGGTACGTTCGCCATCGTGCGCGTGTCGCTGTGCGCGGGATATGGATATCACCTCGACGCCGACCTGTACACGATGTGCACTCTGAGTACTGAAGTGTCTGTCCTAGCCCTGTCCTCGACTCCTAAGTCTGCTCAGACTCCTAAGTCTGCTCAGACTGCTGATGATAGCGACTCTGCTCAACTCCGCCATCCCTGGCCTCTAATTATTCGCGTGTTCACTGGCAATATTGGTCTTCGAGTTCACCATCACGCTCACGCTCACGTTCATGTTCGTGGAAGAGGCAGCGGAAGGGGGTGGGAACGGAGGTAGGGGGTGCGGGTGCGGAATGGATTGGATTGGATTAAAAAGTCATGTTCAAGACGCACGATCGGCCGGCGCGCCTTCGCGTTCCTTCTTTCCCTTGCTCCATTTTTCCCCGCACATTTTTTTTCTAGCTCTTAACAACCTCTCAGTTCATGCACAGGTGACTTCCGGACTCCGGAGCGGAGAGAATCTCCCTTGTCCTTGCCCGTTCTCATGCAGAATCGCCGGTATTGCTCGGGGTATGGATATTACCTCCTCGCCCCGATGCTAACTCGACGTCAACGACGATCTGCACACGAAGTATACTATATATCTACTCGGAGTTTTCATTCCGTGTACGTGCTTCAAGTTTCGTCTCTTTCTCTTTCGTTTTCTCCGAATATCGCTATCACTCAGCTCTGAGGCTCACAGATGGAAGATGGGGTTCCGGAATTTGAATTTTTCATACCCACGGTACGCGCGCGCCCATGCAAGGTTAACTGCCAGTGTTGCTCGGGGTACGGACACCACCCCGCCCTCCTGGTGCGTCCCACACTGCATTCCTAGCCGTATCTTCAACCTGCCTACACGCTTCGCGTTATCTTTGTCCTTATGGCGAAGGCGCGTCCAACGAGGGAGGAAATTATCTCAAATACATGTATGTAATCTCCGTACGTCCTTCTTTCCCTCTGTTATAAATTCTAAAGTCTAAAGTCTAAAGTCTGACTCCTAAATTCAGAACGCCACATGCCAGATCAACAGTGTACCTTAGCGCAATCCTCCTTGCGCCCACGTCGACACGGACCCTAGGCCTGCACCGCATTGCGCGGCGGACACGGTGCCCCCATGGGCGATGGCTGTTGCGTTGCGTCGCTGCGCGGGATACAATATATTTCCCCGCCGCTCTACGTATGTACGACTCAGATTCAATCAGAATTGAAGCTGGTGCGTCGCACGAAGTCAATCTTGGCTCTAATCTTGATTTATATATCTACAGTGCTTTCGTTCTTCAATTCCATTCGCCTGCCAACCAATCTCAGTCGGGGTATTCCTATGCAACCCGCTGTTTTAGGTGAATTGATCATCGCGCACCGTTCTATGTGCAAATTCTCTCCTGTCTAGTGGGAAGGAAATCTTTCTGTCCGCTCCCGCGGGAAACTACCAGCAGGAGAGACAAAAATTCAGCGGGAGACTGGGCTATGTATACACGCGGCATCGTTGAGTCCTTTTATTATATCCTGTCCCATTTTTCGAGTTCTGCGCTCCTCGGCTCGAGAGATCTTCCTCTCTTCCCCTGTTCCCACTTCCATTCATCCTTTCGCTTCTACGAGGGCTCAATCAGAATTGTATTCAGACGTATGTACGACTTTAATTGCATGTCGGCAGTATGTTGATTTTACCACTCAATCCCACAGAGGAAAGCTAGCTTGGGGAGGTACCTCGCTCCCTATAATCTTTCTGATCAACGTGAAAAACCTGGCTTAATCTATGACACGGCACTGGCACCAAACAACATGATTCAAGATACACAACTGTGAGATAGTCGCGAGTTGTCAAGCTTAGGAGAACATGTCGTCAACCTCGCTCACGGCTTTCTGCATCGTCTCGGCTTTGACTTTGTTCTTGATTGGACGCAATTTTGTTAGTGCGACAGTGGGCGGAGGTCATGGGATGTACTCACGAGCACTTCATCGTTGGGCCTGAAACGCTGAGAGGTAACGACTAGCAAGCAATCGTTCATTAGCTCTCCGAAAAAAACCGCATGCCTGAAGTGACATACCCGTCTGCATACCATTCTTGTCCTCTTGGTGAAAGAAAATGCGGCTGCAATCGGACCAAGCAAAAATTTGGATCCTGTAGATCGTGTAATCAGCAACAATTTATATCTTCAACAGGACAGTCATATTGCCTGTAGATCTTGAAGTACGGGTTGGCGATGCTCGGGAACCTCAAGGGAGAAGTACATCAATGATAATACTTTCACAACGCGTTCGTTTCGCTCACCTCATGACACCAACCTCGAGCATCCGCCGCTCATGACGTCTAGTGACAACTTTGAGTACACGACCCGCCGTGAATAACCTGATCAGACAAACTTACTCGTGCTTTGAGAAAACGTTCACAAAATTGGTGACGGTTGCACCAGACCATGCGACGATTTTCGCGAGGGACTCGACGTCAATGTGACTGTCGGCTCTGATATCTGGATCGGGACACGCCTCACTCTGCCACCAATGCATCACCTTCGCAGGGGATCAGTGGCTCTTGTTCCCGGAAAAGAAACCAAAAAAAAAAATGACCTTTTGAACCAAATTCGGGTCCGGGGAACCATCGAACTTGAAATCGGCCGAAGTCTCAGAGACGTATTGCTGCGTGATCTCCTGAGGTTCCTCCATTGCCACCAAAGTGGTGTTGGCGTTGAAACAACCTTGGATGTTCTTCCAACTCAGTGCTCCCTGTTGCTTGTATTTGAGGAGCTCCTTCATCGAGACAGCGATCATGAGCTGCGAGGAATTGGCCGTCAGATGTAAAATTCATGCAGGCTTCTAGTCATTGATCACCTTCATTTTGTCGTCGAGCTCCCTGACCGACTGGGCTGCGTTGTCGAGAGATCCGAACGAGGGAGCGAGACTTTCATGAACCATTGGCTCCTCGTTTTTTGACGTCGATGACTTCAGTGCTGTTTTTGATCTTGTGGGTTCCTATAAATGTACCGTACGGCGAAGGAAAGTGAGTCTCGTACATTCTCAAAGACATCGAGCTGGGATATTCATTTCAGCATCATATTCGCCGAAGCAAGCATGCGCCTTACAGCGGTGGCCACGTAACCACTGGCTTCAGGGCCAAAGAGCTTCGCCAAATTGTTGGCAGGATTCAATTTGACCATGGTAAATTATGAGCAATGCGAAGGACGATCGTCGGGAGGAAATAATCAAGGGACCCTAAAGATCCTAGGGATGCAAAAGCAGGCTTTTATGGACTGCATGTACGAGAATCGTAAGGGCGACTTCGGGTGATTATGTGTTCATTCAGCGTGTTCACCGGGCCACAACACTTCCCTGAATGTACCTGGGAGAGCGACGCCGCTTCCAGGGAATATATGGCGAGTCCATCTCTATGGAGCTTTTGTCGGCAGGTGGAATTGCCCATGGTTCCCTATCCGCTCATTCACCGCGTTCGGAAAGCACCACTTCCAGGGAGTTTACTGAACTATATCGTCGAATTCGGCATAGGGGGTGACGCCTGGCGTTTTAAACCAGTTCGGCAATTTCACACAGGGCGGAAAGGACCATGACAGGCCTAAAATTCGACAAGGACCCCAATTTCTCCATTGATATTTTCGCTTGGAAGTACAGTTGTATCTGGACATTCTTAGAGTTTGGCGAACCACGGTATATTCGGCATGGCGGGTGACTGTCGAATTGAACTTTATTGTGCAATGCCTTTGAGTTGAGTTCTGTCAGGCTTGTGTCTGCTGACTGGGGTCGTCTATGGGACGTCGCTTTCAAGTACCCTGAAGTGGATCCCTGTGTGCCGGCAGGCCACGATCTGGTAGATCAGGGGTTCGTTCACCTCCGGGGAATGTCTCTAAGTACCTTGAAGTGGAGCTCTGTCAGTCTTGTGGCGGTAGGCCCGCATTCTCCATGGTCAATTATGTGTTCATTCCGCCGCTTCCAGCGAAGGTACCAATGAGTGGATCTGCGAGGCTAGCGTCCGCAAGCTAGAATCGCCCGCGGCTACTCATGTGTTCATTCATCGCGTTGAAGCAAGGGCGCCACTTCTAGGGAATGTACCTTGAAGTGTGGTGTCTATAGCCGAGTCTATTCCTGTCCAAAGATCTAAACCATCACGTCTGAGGCAGTTCGGCACTCCTTCCGTCTATGCCGAAGAATGCCGTGCCGGTCTACTGGCCGACGGCCGTCTACGGCACAGTCCATGCCGCCGTGGATCCGGTCTAAGCCGGTCTAGACCTCAGGGAACGTGTGTCGGTAGGCTGGGATCGCCCGATGTCCATCGGTTGATTATGTGTTTATTCAGGTTCATGTGCGCCTTCAAAATAACAGCGCTTGTGGTTAGGAGACTAAGGAGAGGGGTCAGGTACGCAGCGGAGGCTGGCATCGTCCGGGGAGTTT